CTTTTTTTTTCCAAATGATTTTGAGTTTTCTTCCACATTGTTCTCCCTCTCTATCCAGGATCTCCTACATAGATACTCTTTCAAGTGGTTGACAGTAGTAGCCAGGCACCATCTAGTTTTTCTGGTCTCATAGACGTATAGGCTGCAGATTGGATGGTGTACCAGTCACTAGGACTAATTGTTTCCATGAATTTTTGGTTTTCTTCATTCTTCTTTGCTCTGGATGAGAAGAGACCCATTGTTGCATCTAGTGGCAGCTTGCAGGCTTTTAAGATCCCAGTCGCTACTCGCCACAGTAGGAGGTGGAACAATGTTTTGTGTAGTATGTTATGCCAGTTGAGCTTGATGTCCCCTGCGACTATGGTCCCAAGCCCGCAGATTCAACTACTCAGTCCCTCTGGCTAGCTGACTGTGACCATGAAATAGTCATCTTAAAACCATAAGTGTACCCAGCCTTAAGACAAAGCCAACACACTGACGGCAGAGCAAAGAGAAATAATGAACCTGGGTCTGTGATGGTGTTGGTGAGTCAGGAAATCAATCAGCCCTGGTGCTGCCCTATTTCTGGATTTCTTGTTATATGAGATAATAAATAACCTCATTGTTAAGTCTACTTGAGATGAGGTTTTCTGTTTCTTGAAGTGTTACAGATGAAATGTGAAAGTAAGTTCTTTGGATACACTGAAGGACTACTTCGTAGAACTGGTTAAATAAATAAATAAACTACCGCCACAAACCACAGGCAAAGGAAATGTGAGGCAATATTCTAATTTAGTGGATAAAAGCATAGGCTTTAACATCAGACATTGATTGGGTGATTGACTGTGGCCAACTTTCTTTAATGTCTCTAAGCCTCATTGTCTTTTTATCTAGATTGGGGTTGGTAATATTTACACATGGAGTTGTCATGCAGATTAAATGAGGTATTTGTAATAAGCCCTAAATGAGTGGTTGGGAGCTCTGGTAGCATTGTGCCTAAGGCACTAGACTGCTAACCAGAAGGCTGGCTGTTCAAACCCACCAGCCACTCCTCGGAAGGAAGGTTGGGCAATCCTACTTCCGTAGTGATACTGCCTCGGAAACCCAAGGAGGGGTCACTATGAGTCGGAGCCGACTCAATGGCTCATAACAACAACAACAAATGAGTGGTGACTATGTTGATAAACTGTGAGTTAATTCATATTTACAGTGCAGTTGGTACCAAGCATCTAATATAATATTGATCATCTTAAATAACACTAAAATGATGCAATCAGTGAAATCTAGAATGTGGGAAACTCTACAGGACAAGCAACCCAATTTTGTCAACACATAAATTGCAAGAAAACAAAAAGAGGGAGGTGGAGCTTATAGTTGAATAGAAACATAAGAGGCCAGTTGTTGTTGTTGTTATGTGCCGTCGAGTTGGCCCCCGACTCATAGTGACCCCTCCTTGGGTTTCCGAGGCAGTATCACTACGGAAGTAGGATTGCCCAACCTTTCTTCTGAGGAGTGGCTGGTGGGTTTGAACCGCCAGCCGTCTGGTTAGCAGGCAAGTGTCTTAGCCACTATGCTACCAGAGCTACCAAGAGGCCAGTAGCCAAATGCAATGTGTGAATCTTGATTTGAAAAAGCAGCTATTATAAAATCATTCTTCCTACCTTCCTCCTTGTTTTGTAGTATAGTTTTGCCTTGTTTCTACCTCTTTCCTAATTAGCAATTATTGTGTTGTTGCTGTTTTTAATTGCCAATGCTGTTTATTCATGTATCTACATTTTCTTTGTTCACGATTGTTGTCCTCTCACTCATTCTAAGTTCCATTTCTTCTTCCTGAAATACTCTTGCAAAAGTTCTATCAGAGACTCTTCAATTCTAAAACAAAATCTTTTAATCTGAAAATATGCATCTTTTCTTCATCCTTGAGTATTAATTATTATTCTATACTACATTTTCAGTTATTTTCTCCTGGGAATTCAAAGATAATTGTGTATTTTTCTGACCTTATTTAGTTTGCTACTGAGAATTTTTCTGCCAATCTAATTATTGTCCTTTCTATACTGTCTTTCTAGGTGCTTTGGAGATTTTCTTCTTATTTTCAGTGTTCCTTGTTTTACTACATCTATACTGTCTTTCTAGGTGCTTTGGAGATTTTCTTCTTATTTTCAGTGTTCCTTGTTTTACTACAGTACTGTTAGGTGTTTTTTCTTCAATCTAAGATTACTAATTTTGCTTCTTTCATCTGAGGATCCATGTCTTCTTCAATAGTAGAAAAATCTTAGGCATTATATCTTTGACTATGTCTGCTCTCTATTTCCTTTAAGAATTCCTTTCAGATATATGTTGGAACTTTTGAATTCTATGCTCTTTTTCTCCTTATCTCATTTTGCTATATTCTGGATAATTTGCTTCAGGTCTATGTGCCAGTATAGTCATACTTTTTCTTTTTTCAGCAGTGTCTGATCTTCTAGTTAACACAGACTCAGTTTTGCTTATTAGAGTCTCTTTCAGATTGGCCTTTTGCTGGATAGTGTCTTAATTCCTAGTGTTTATCAGTTTAATAATTGAAAACATGTTTATTTTGTAATATCAGATTGTTGCTTATCTCAAGCTCTTGGGTGCTATTCTTATTCCTTTATTACATTTGGCTATAAAGATATTCTTATGTATTTTCTTCTGAAAGTTTTGAAGTTCCACCTTTCATACTTAAATCTTTATCTAAAATGAAACTTTATGTATTATAGGAAGTAGAGTTCTTCTGGTTTCATAGTCATATAGGCTGCAGATTACCATGTGGTAATCCTAGGATCGTAGACATTCCCCAGTGATCTGCAGTGCTACCTTTGTCATAGATGAAGTTCTCACACATTTGTGGTTCTGCTTTTGTAGGCACTGTCCTTATCCATTGGTCTGCGAGCATCAGTGTTACCTTATCCTAACTTCATAGCTTCATAATAATTCTTGATACCTAGTACTATAGTTTCCTCTTCTTTATTCACTGTATATCAAGGTGTATGAATAACTGATAGCCTTAACCTGCAGGAAAATATACTCTTTTAAGAGAACACTCCTAAAGAATTTGATCATATCTGTATATCGATCTATATATAGATCACATCTGTATCTCTTGGGTCTTGGAATGGCACACTAGATGTCATCCAGGAGTTCACACACAGAAATCTCTTGTTAATCAATCTAATTTAGCCATCAGCATCTTTTTACTACTGCTCAGTGCTGCTACTACTATTTTTGATCAAGTATGTTCTTTAGTAAAGGTACTGAGCTAGGCATTGCTTCAGCTAAAAAGACAGTAAGTCCTAGTTACATCACAAGAGCATGCATCTGGTAGAGGGGATAAGACAAGTATATGAGTAACTCAAACACAAAGCACAGTAAATTAAGTGCTAAACAAGAGGTTAACAGCTTTTTTTTTTTTTTCTTTTTACCGTTCAAGGTTTGGTCATACCTATACCCTTGGGCCTCAAAGGAGAAACAATAATTCGGCTGGTGGCAGCGGGGACAGTTGGGTAATAATCAGTAAATATCTCATTGGGATGTATAATTTGAGATGGATCTTAAACATTTTATAAGTATAGCAGAGGGTATTAGAAGAGTGTCATTTCAGGTGGCAGGTACAGCATATGTAAGGCACATAGGGAGGAAAAAGGAGACAAGTTCAAGTGGCTCTCTTTGGCAGGAGCTTATGGAGTTAAAGGATAAGGAGTAGATATGGCCATAATAAAAGAAAAATAAATAGCTTGAATGCTAGTGTGACTTTATATTCATGCTATTGTCTACAGGGAGCCATTGAAGGCCTTTTGAGTGGGAGGGTGAAGGGGGGACCACTTCCTCCTCTCCCATCCTTTGTGTCTCCAGAGCTCTAGACCCTTTGTCTCTGTCCAGCACAGCAATGTGTAGAAATTTAAGCTGTTGCAGTAAGCTTTCACCCTCCTGGCCAGCCTATGGGGTCCCTCTTCTTGAAGAGTTGTCCAAAGTACAAATAGAAGCTGGAGAACTAGATTCTAGTAAAGCCCACCCACTCTGTAAAATACCATGTGAAGCCAGAAGGTTGAGGAGAGGATTTTCAAAAGAGAAGATTATTTTGGTGGATTTTAGCAGTAAGGAGTTCTGGTAGCATAGTGGCTAAGGCACTGATTGCTAACCAGAAGGCTGGTGGTTCAAACCCACCAGCCACTCCTTGGGAGGAAGATAGGGCAATCTACTTCAGTAGTGATACTGCCTCACTATGAGTCGGGTCTGACTCGATGGCACATAACAACAATAACAACCTTTAAGTTATGATTTTGATTCTGGGGTGTCAAGGAGGAAATTGATAAGAAAAAAAAAGGGGGGGGTGCAGATAGTTAATTCAAAATAGTGAGCCAGGAGAGTGGATTGTAAATTGTCAGCCTTTTAGGGCAGCGCAGGACTAAAAACTACTTCCGTAGTGATACCGCCTCGGAAATCCAAGGAGGGGTCGCTATGAGTTGGGTCCGACTCCACGGCACATAACACCACCAACAACAGGACTAAAATTGGTACTGGTGAACAAAGAAGAGTAAAACGAAAGCAACTGGACGGTCAGATTGAAGCAACTCATCAGGCCTTTGAAGCACTATTACTCCTGCTGTAATGTTGAAAGCACTTGGCCTAAGCTGTTGCGATGGGCCGGAAGAAGCTATATGTGTTTGATGATCACAGTGGTTTTTGTGACGTGTACTTTGAGGTCATCAAGGTAACTGAGTTGGGGAAGGAAATACCCTTGGCATTGCGAGAGCCTGAAGGTCTGAGCAAGTAGGCTTGTGCTGGGGAACCAATAAAGGAAGCAGAGCAACGCTTTCCTTTTCAGCTGTGGTTAGGCTAGGGTGTGTGGACCAAGCCGTCGGTGGCAAGGTGCAGGATTCTACCGGGGGCCTAGGACGCCCAAGGATGGGTCACTCTTAGCCCCCGGGGGCCTTAGAGAGCTCCGGCTTTCACGTACTGGCTGGCAAGGGGGATGCGGAGGCGTATGGCCTCGCAGCTATGTGAACTCCATTCGTTCTTTCCCCTGCAGGTGCGCTTCTGCAGCGGGCGTCCAGGGAAGGCAGGACACTGCGGAGGGAGGCGCCCGCCATGCCAGGTCCCCAGCTCCCCGCCTCGGCCTCCCGCCCGCCGCCCCCGCGGAACCGCGGTCCGCAGCCGCTGTGAAGAGTAAGAGGAGGCGCCGGCGGAGCAGGCACCGCCCCCTTGGCGAGCTTCTCGACCTGGCGGCCTCGGCAGGACCCATGGCGGATTCCTCGCCCGCGCTGTCCCTGAGGGAAGGCAGACCCCGGGCATCCCGGCCCCGGGCTCCGCCGTCGCCGCCGCCACGCTCGCGCTCCGGCTCTGAGTCCGAGGAGGCCGAGCTGTCGCTAAGCCTGGCCCGCACCAAGACCCGCTCGTACGGCAGCACCGCCAGTGTGCGGGCGCCGCTGGGCGTCAGCGTCTTCGAGCGCCATGTGGAGCACCAGGTCTGCGCTGGCGACACGCTGCAGGGCATTGCGCTCAAGTACGGAGTCTCGGTGAGCAGGGCGCGCCGCCGCGGCCTGGGCCGGCGGCTGTGCCGGGGCGGAGTGCGGGATGGCTCTTGGAGGAGCAAGGGGTGGTCTCGGGAGGAGTGCCTGGGGGGTCCAGGAGGCAGCCATCCATTGCCCTGCCGCAGGCACTCACTCGCCCGGTGCTGACTGCTGGTAACAGCAACGGTCGCCAAGGCAGATCCTGCAGCCAGAAAAGGGCGGGCGTCCAAGGCCCAGGCTCCCTCCCCAGGTACGTGAATCGAGTTCCTGGGTGCCCTGCCCAGACTCAGCAGATCTGTCCCATAAGGAAGGCCAAAGAGGACCAGCGTTTTGGCACCACTGGGAGCCACATTTACCAGATTTTCAGTTCGATTACACTGTTAAGTATTTACTCAAAAGCCAAACTGAGGTGTGGACTTGAGCAGAGACTTTTGTTCTCTGTGTAAACAAGTCTTGTGATGAGTCAGGAACGGTAGGTACACTTGTTCCCACTGGATGGTTCTAGTTCTATCGATTATGCTTCTTTATTTAGAAGTGAAATTATACCCGTGGGCTCACTGGCAACTGTGAATGTGACACCTGTCGCTAAGCTGCAGCCAGGAACTATGGTCTAGGTGAGCTAAAGGGCTGTGTTTATTATAAATTTATAAGCGTGTGGGTCTTGGGCATATTGTATTACACCTCTGGGAAGAACATGGAAACCCGAGGGAACAAATTGTTTCATTAAATTTCTTATAATTAACTTTGAGCTATGTGATGGCCTTTTTGCATTTGAGTTCTGTATCACTTTTCAATGTTCTTTCCTGAAGCACCTTAGACAGCAATAGGAAGAAAGATGATCTTACCTGTATCTTTTTCTTAAAGTGAAAGTCTTTTTGGTCCTTCAGACCTAATGACAGACACTGAGTAATCTACTTTGCACATTTGAATGGAAATATGCTTACCTATCAGGTTCTTCTATCATTTAAACTTTTTGAGAGCAGGGATCTTGCTGTGCAGTCATGGACTGACATTATCCTGCCATGGATAGCCCCATACAGTGGTCTTGGGAGATCTCTAAATGTGAACATAGACCAACAGTTCTCCATGTATGTACGTTAATGGGGCCTGATTTGGGTCTAAGCCAGAGGGAAGCAGAGTTGGGAAGTATCATAGCCACCTTCTGCTGAATGCCAACTGTGTGCCAGACATTTCACTTGTCCTGTCGTATCTTATTTAATTTGATTTTCACAATAAGCCAAGAGATAGGTGCAATTAATCTCTTTTTTTAACAAGTGAGAAGATGTATGAGAGTAAGGATATTTTACAAGTATGATTACTCATTGGGAGTAGCTTGAATCAGCATAGGGATAAAGCATTTGCTTTTCCTTAGTTATTAAGATTTCTACCGTTGTTTTTAATCCTGATCTTACTGAGAGCTCTCTCAGCATCCTGATTACTGAAGAAGGAAGGTCTTTTCTGTCTTGTTTCTATGAGTCCTACCTACTAGGTCAGGGTGACTATTCCTAGGAATCCATTCCTTGCCCCCCCCCCCCAACACACACAGCACCATAACCTACAGCCCTCTGTGGTCTCACTTAAGTTACTTATAGCTCCTAAACATTTGCTCACTGAAGTTCTCCACCTTTGATCAAATGCTTTCTAATCTCTGTTTTCGCTGATCAACTTCCTGTCAACCTTCTTACAACTCTTTTTTTAAGTTAAGATATAAATCAGACTTTTCATAACTTTAATAAAGACTTTTGATGTTAAGATGTTAAACTGAAGTATAATGTTTGAGAACCATAATCTATAGTCATAAATCACAGGGTTTCTCGACCTCAGCACTGTTGATATTTTGAACCTGATAATTCTTTGTTGTAGGATCTATCCTGTGTTTTATAGGATGTTTAGCAGCATCTTTGGTCTCTACTCACTATATGCCAGTAACATCCCCTGTTCCTACCCCAAAGATGTAACAATTGAAAATGTCTCCAGACATTGCCATATGTCCCCAAAACAAAAAAACTATCAAACTCACTAACATTGAGTCGATTCCGACTCATAGTGACCCCCTTTCTGAGGTGGTAAATCTTTACAGAAGTAGATTGCCTAGTCTTCCTTCCATGGAGTGGCTGGTGGGTTTGAATAGCCAGCCTTCATGTTAGCAAAATTATTCTGGTTGAGACCAATTGGTTTATTACATATATATTTCATAAACTTTGGGTCCTGAACTATAATTAATGAAATTTTTAGAGACTCTGCTACTAGCTATACAAAACCAGTGAACATGACAATATTTAGCATAACAGTGAAGGGATACTCTTGCTTTAATTAATATCTATAGCTATTAGTTGGGTTTATTCATTGTAAATTGAGATTTTAGTTAGAAGCTAAAAAGTCAGAAAAGTTCTTTTTTCCCCTGACATGAAGAAGTCAAGTGAGTTAAGTTTCTAATATTGAACTGCTAAAATCTACAACATATTTAGAGTTTTGTTTAAAAGGGTAGGTGGTGAGATGTTGGGGGTTAGAGACCCATGGCAGAGTACTTGGAAATTAAGAATCAGTCCAGGCAGACAATTGACTTTAACATTCCATGAATCATGCATAAGTAGAGCACAGCTCTGCAGTTTTGTTTTGTTTTTTCCTTAAATTTTTATTGTGATTTGGGTGAAAGTTTACATAGCAAATTCATTTTCCATACAGCAGTTCACATATACTTTGTCTCATGACATTGACTGCAATTTCCCACAATATAACATCTCCCCTCCCACTTATTCCCCATAGTTGCCTCTTCCCTGTGTCCTTCCCTCCCATGCACTTCTGCCCCCCAAGCTGTCTCCCTGTGCATACATAGCCCTTCTATTCTTCCATGATTGATCTCTCCAATGTGTGTATCTACCTAACTTAAATGTTCAGCTCATATGCCTGTCTTTTGTTTGGGTGGAAGCCACAGGAGTGGGTTCGATCCCAGACCTGAAGGGCAGGTAGGGGCCATAGTCTCAGGGGTTCCACCAACCTCTATCAGACCAGCAAACCTGGTCCTGCCGCAGACCAGCACAGTCACTGGGCTCGGTTCTATAACTCGAAGAAGATTATAGGTGAATAGGGAGTCGGCGAATTGGCTAACAGAAGACAAACAACTCAGAGGCTGCTTGCAACTGAGAGCGTTTATTGAGTTATAGGGCCAAGCTTTTATGGTGCATGTTAGTTCCTTCTACAAAACCACTGACCTTTCAGATATTGATCAGTCAAGCACAGGTTTACGCAAAAACACAGAAAGTAAAGTACCTGATCAAAAACAGTAAGTTTACAAGTTCCCATTACATCACAATTCTAAGTACTACAACAATAATCATAATTATTGTTTTGGCCTTTTTGTCGTATGCCCTGAGACTTCCCATTACGTCAGGATCCTTTTCTAAACAAATTCTTTTTCTGTCCTTTGGAAATATTTACTTTTGAAATTTGCATTGTATCTTTTCACTAATGCTGTGAGCCACTTTTTAAACTTGCCTTTTGTTCATTAGTTAATAAACACCAAGGGTTTCTCATATTTTTGTACAGTCACTGGAGATGTTGGTCCTTGGTTTTTTCCAGAATGAGTTCACTTTGTTCCAAATCATTGAAAAAATTTCCAACTGGGTCATTAGTTAAGTTCTTATGGTCCATTTTTAAAATTGCTTGAAGTACTGGAGGCAATTGTTCCTCTGGAATGTTTTCCAGGAGTTTCCTTTGAAGTCATCCATGATTCTGTGGAAAATACACCCTCTCCCAAGGTAGGTTTCAGGTCAATGCCATCGCCTGATCCTCTGACGTCTCTCTGCTCCAAGAAATCTTTATTGTTCTTATTGTAACTAGCAACTATTGAACCAAACAACATTATCAAAAACATCAGCAAACAGGAACAAATGGTAAAAATTGAGAGAGCACACTTCACCCCGGGAAGCTTAGAGTTTCCTTGAAACAGCCGCTTCAGACCGGTGACTGTGTCACGCGGACCCCACCGGGGCTGTCGTGGCATGGTCCCTTTTTTTTTTTTATGATTTTGAGTTTTGTTCCACATTGTTCTCCTACTCTATTGAGGATCTCCTACATACATCCCCCTCTGAGTGGATGACAGTGGTAGCTGGGCACCATCTAGTTCTTCTGGTCTCACAGTCATATAGGCTGAGGATCACATGGTGCACTAGTCGCTTGGACTAATTGTTTCCATGTGTCTTTGGTTTTCTTTATTCTTTTTTGCTATGGACAAGGAGACTCATTGTTGCATCTAGATGGCTGCTTGTAAGCTTTTAAGATCCTAGTCATTACTTGCCAGAGTAGTATGTGGAACAATGTTTTGCCAATTGAGCTTGATGTCCCTTGTGACCATGGTCCTACAGCTCTGTAGTTTTGCTTATAGGGACAGGAACTCTCAGAGAAGACTGTCTACTGGTGACAGCTCCCCAGCCACTCAGTTGGGAGACCAGGCAGGACTTCAATTCCTTGGGAGCAGAGATTGGGAAAAGCCAGTAGTATTCTAGATATAAGGATCTTCCCAGAGACAAGGAGTGAAGATGGGAACCTGGTTGCCAATCCTGGGTCACAGGGGAACAAGTTGGAAACTGGTTCTCCAAGTGGTGCTCAAGGGCTGGCAGCATGATGCATCTCAGGATGTTGGAATAGATCCTCATACTTGTCTGTACAGGAGAGAAATGCCCTGGGGCAAGTGAAAACTAAAGGATCCTGTAATTCTCTATTTTTAATAGGCCATGGTCTCTATGGTTGTTTCCAAAGTACTGTCCCTCCTTGGGGGTCTTTGTATTGGCTGTTTTGTCTGTTTGGAACACACTTTCCCTGATAGCTGTATGCAGGGCTGGCTTCATGGCTATGTGACTGCCACAGTTGCACAGGGCTCAGTGCTTAGGAGCTCTGGTGGCATAGTGCCTAAGGCATTTGACTGCTAACCAGATGGTTGGCAGTTCAAACCTACCAGCCACTCCTTGGAAGGAAGGTTGGGCAATCTGTTTCCATAGTGATACTGC